CAATATTGAAAGATTTTATGGGCAAAATATTGAATGATGCAGGAAGCATCAAAAGAAGATGGAAGAAATACACACAGTCACTGTATCAAAAAGAATTGGTAAATGTCCAGCTATTTCAGGGTGTAGCATATGATCAAGAACCAATGGTATTGAAGGAATAAGTCCAAGCTGCACTGAAGGAATTGGTGAAAACAAGGCTCCAGGAAATGACAGAATACCCATTGAGATGTTTCAACAAACAGAAGCAGAGTTGGAGGCTGTTACATTTATGCCAAGAAATTTGGAAGACAGCTGGTGGCCAAGTGATTGGAAGAGATTGATATTTGTGCTCATTCCAAAGAAAGCTGATCCAGCAGAATGTGGAAATCATCTAACAATATCATTAATATCACTATCATTATCACTATCATTATCATTAATATCACACCCAAGTAAAATCGTTCTGAAGATAATTAAAAAATAGTTGCAGCAGAATAATGACAGGGAACTTCCAGAAATGTATACTGGATTCAGAAGAAGATGTGGAATGAGGGATATCATTGCTGATGTCAGATGGATCTTAGCTGAAAGGAAAGAATACAAGAAAGATGTCTACCTTTGTGTTATTGACTATGCAAAAGCATTGGACTGTGTGGAGCATAACAAATTATGGATAACATTGTGAAAATTGGGAATTCTGGAACACTTCATTGTTCTCATGAGGAACCTGGACATAGATCAAGAAGCTGTCATTTAAACAGAACAAGGGAATACTGCATGCTTTAAAATCAGAAAGGTGTGTGTCAGGGTTGTATCCTTTCACCCTAATTATTCAGTCTGTATGCTGAGTAACTAATCTGAGAAGCTGGACTATATGAAGAATGTAGCATCAGAATTGGAGGAAGAACCATTAACAACCTATGATATGCAGATGATACAACCTTTCTTGCTGAAAGTGAAGATGATTTGCAGCACTTACTGATGAGATCAAAGACTACAGTCTTCAGTATAAACTACACCTCAATCTAAAAAGAATGAAAATCCTCAAAACTGGACCAATAAGCAACA